TGAATTTACTCCAGGTGTAACTAAAGTCTGATTTAAGACTTGATTATATTTCACATCATTCATCCACATTTGTAAAGTAACTAAAGGTAAATACACGTAGTTGAGTAAAAGTACACAATTTACCTCTGGACTGTAGTGGAGCAGAATTACAAAGAAGAAAAAGTGGAAATACTTAAGTACCTCAAAATAGTGAGTAAATCTACTTAGTTACAACCACCACTGCAGGTATGTCATGTGTGCTAGCAGCCCATAATCCCCACTATACATAAAATAAATCAATGTTAATTCTGTTTCCAATTTGTTTAGTTTTTCCCTTAAAAAATAACAAAAAGAACCTATAAAAATAATGTTAAAGTACCGGATTGATAAGCAGTATTTCTAATTGTTTAAATTAGGCCTCATTATTTCACAGTGGCACAGGATCATCTGGCAATACAAGTACTTTTGTTTTGTTGTTCAATCCATAATAAAATATAAAATTCTATTTGGATCTTCTCTTGTTATTATTAGCAGAGAAAATGTCATGTTTGTACAACTATATACAATTAATTCTACCAATCTCAGTGGGAACCGGGTTAGGGGGGCTCGAAAATATTTCCAATCACCCAAGGGGGGCCTGACTGAAAAAGGTTGGGAACCACTGAGCTAATAAATTCTCAGTGTTAGTACACACTGGCTTTTAACATCTTGTTGTCTGTCTATAGTTTCTCTTCTGAATGTTTCCTATTTTACCACTTCCATTTTATAGTTTGTTAAACATCTTTATTCAAAAGAGCCCTGAAAATGTATCCAAGTTCAGTATTTAGTTATATTTAGTAGGGCTGCTCAATTAATCGTATTTTAATCGCTATTACGATTTTGGCTTGCAACGATTATGAAAACAACATAATCGGAATAAAAAGATTTTTTTTTTTTTATTGGTTTTTCAGTTGAATTTATACTTAAAGTTCAGGGTAATCAACTGTTAAAAACATACTGTTCAAATTATTTATTGTTTCAATAAATGGATGTTTTCAAAGTAAATGGATAATCGTTTTTAATAATCGTGATATCAATTATTGACCCAAATAATCGAGATGATCATTTTTGCCATAATCGAGCAGCCCTAGTATTTAGTAAAGAGAAAGTGCAGACAAAAGGCAAAAACATGATAAGTAGGGTAGTAGAATTAGAGTAACACATTTATTGTCCTGGTAGTGTTTGTTACGTTGTTTCCTGGAGGACAGACATGATTTCCTCTCTGGTCCTCATGCAGGACTGCACCTGTGATGATTTCTGTCCCGAGTGCTCTGTGGAGTTGACGATGGACGTCCGATGCACTGAAGACCAGACGCGTCATGTCACCTCACGAGACCTTTTGTCCAATAATCCCAGAGTGATCCCGGTGAGTTCTTTCTACGGTTATTGAAGTCATTAGAGGAAAGGGAATCAGAAGAGAATCTGACTGTAATTTTATTGGGCTTTCCAGGTAACTTCCAGGAGTCGAGACAATGATCCCAATGACTATGTGGAACAAGATGGTAAGAGAGAATCTTGTCTATAGGCATGTTATTGTCAGACGCCTGTTTTACCATAATTTTATCCGACATTTAAAACATTTTCCTGACTCTCTGCCCTCTATCTGACACAATATAGACATTATACTGGTGAAGCTCCGTAAAGGTCAGGAGGTGCGGCTCAGGGCGTACGCAAAGAAAGGCTTCGGTAAGGAGCACGCCAAGTGGAACCCCACAGCGGGGGTGTCCTTCGAGTACGACCCCGACAACTCACTGAGGCACACAGTGTTCCCCCGGCCTGAGGAGTGGTATGAGATGATTTAGTAAAGTTCGAAGTTAAATGTATCAACTTAAACAATGAGTGGATGATGAATTGACGCATGTATCACTCTGATTCTCAGGCCAAAGAGTGAATACTCAGAGATTGAGGAGGATGAGGTGCAGGCTCCCTATGACCCCAATGGGAAGCCAGAGAGGTGAGGAAAGAATGTTTCACACTCTTGAGTTAATGAGGGAACATGTACGTATGATTTGTAGATATGTTGGCCAATGGGAAATGCAAGCAGCTCTATGAATAAAAAAAGCTAGATAGCACTTTGAAATTCATTGCTCTATTTCAATAAATGTGGTGCAGTGATGACTTATTTTTGTAGCCTGATTTGAAAGTTAGCATCCCAAGTGCTCCTTCATCAGAAAAAAAAAAACATGATTTTTCCGTTGGATGAATATTATTCTTATATTATTATTATTATTATTATTATTATTATTATTATTATGTTATTTTTATGTCGGAAAACAAAGCATGAATATCTCTTTAGCTTTTGTTAACTAGTACAGACCTTATTTCAGGCTTCTAACTCAAAACACTTTCAATAAACACTGACTTGGACACAAGGGAACCGAAGTGGTAAAATGCTAACTCAGTTTCAGGTTTTTAGGACTCCCCTGCACCACTCTATCTGATACCAAATAATATGTTTTTGTCAAAATATCTTTTGTTACACATATATTTATCTGCTTTGAATTAGTGTATGATCTGTTAAAAAAAAAAAAAAAAGATACTGCGTGTGTCTAAAGTGCTCTCGGGATATTCCCCCTCAGGTTCTTCTACAACGTGGAGTCATGCGGCTCTCTGCGGCCGGAGACCATCGTCATGTCGGCGCTGGCTGTCCTGAAAAAGAAGCTGAGCGACCTGCAGACTCAGCTGAGCCACGAGATCCAGAGCGACGTGCTCACCATCAACTGAGGGCGCCCTGAGGGCCCCTCCCTCACAGAGAAGACCTGCATTCACACAGCTATATATTAAAAGGAGGACGGATTCAGCGCTGTTCAGGTCACATGTTCTTGGATCTGTATGTTATCAAGGAATATGAGGACATGTATTCCTGAAAGTAGAGATTGGAGCTTCTTATGTCAAAGCATCCAATGCATGGTCCGTCTCTGTCAGGGAGTTTGTGTCACAATGATACAAATGTGATTTTGTTGTTGGCAGTGTTACAGTGTTCGATTATGATTTTGATAAATGTTACTTTTGAAATAAATGTGTTTTAGGAATATGGTGTACTAATTGTTGCTTTATTGTAAGTTTTTTAGTTTTTCACAAATGCAAATGTTCAAAAACCTGGATAATCGAAAAAACAATCCTATAAGCTTCTTAACAAGAGAAAAGCGATACGTTTAATGTTAAACCGTTTGCAAAAGAAAAGATTACATTTATTTTTTGGACATTAATTGTATTTTCAAATCTTATAATTTGGTCGATTGAGAATCTAAACAAGAGAAAAATAGCCAGCCATACAAATGATGTCTTTATGCTTATTACCATCCTATCAAATCTCTATAGTGACTTTTGGGTTCATGGAAGCTGGGACTGCACTTCCAAGGTATATACATCTCTTTAATTTTTGTCAAATGGCAACTATGGCAAGAGTAATAGTGAAGGAGGGATAAGCTATAGAACCAATTTATGTTGAGTTGTGAAGTAAGCTTAAAGAAATGCCATGAAGAGATAAATGTTAACATAGGCGCCATTATTAGCTGTAGATGTTTTGTTATGTTGGGAAAGAGTACATTAGCCCTTCACATAGACCCAATGGGATTTGATAAATTGCTGGCTTTAATTAAAGTTACAGCATTATGTCATTTAGGTTGAGTGCACTCGAAGAGCACCTAAGCACACATGTATGCCGTAACCCTGCATGTACCAAACCCCACAACATCACAGACAGAAGGTAAATAAATAAAGAAGCACCTTAATTCAGAAATCTCAAATAAGGACACATTTTAGAAATAAATGTTAACCTGCATATTTTTGTATTCCCATTATGCTTTGTGTGAACTTTTAGCTGATGAGAGTAACACATGCGTCACTTCCGGGCAAAAATGACGGTTCCGCCCACTTTTGAGGGAAAACAACGCTGTCATTTGAATGGCTGTAGTAGTACTGCATTTTCTTACCAGACTTAATACAGATTCATGAGTCATATATTTAAAAAAAAAATTCATTATACTTATTTTTGCTGTGGCAATTGCAATTGCATGAATATAACTTTATTTGAATATTTGTTTGTCATGTAACCTATGCATGTAACCGACTTTATAGGTAAGACAACAATTTAAAATAAAATAAAAGAGTGAAAGCACTCGCAATTATATAGATGCATAATATACATTACAAAATATATGAATAAAAAATGTTTTGTTCAGTTTATTCATTTGTATTTCATTTCAGTCGTCGCTTACTTTCCATGGACGCCGGGTAGCGCTCTGTTATCATTTCGCTTGTATTGTGTTCCAGTAGCACTTCCGGGTTCTAATGTTTACAACTGGCAGCAGCGTTTGGATCAGAGAGCTGTGTTCCTGGCTCATGAAAATCATATCTATGTTCCAACAACATGTTCTGGAAGTGCTAGGATTTACAGAGTGTGACGGTAGGCTTTAACGCATCACTACAGTAGTCATAACGATGTAACATCTGAACACGAGCTAACACGTAGCATGCTCATTCAGGATGCTCAGGCTAACAGCTAGCACTAGCTTGTTGACAGTAACAGTCAATAGAGATGTGTCGTGTTGTCAGAGTGAGAATATTCTGGACGTTCTGTGCATAAGAACCCGGACCCATTTCTACTTTTGGGAAAATGAAGGGGAACATAATTTAGACTAAATAGACCCCTTAGAACACATTTCTGACAAGAAA